AAACTGTGGTCAATGTCATGAGACAAAGTATATGTAAACTGCTACATGGAAAGTGAATTTGCTCTGTAAATCTTCACCCAAATCACAATAATAATAAAAAAAAAAAAAGAATAAAAAAAAAATTTTGTCAAGAGGTCAAAGCTGCAGGTTCAAGAAGTTCGGTGAACCACAAACAGTATAAATGGAAGGAAAGCCATACCCACAAACACTGTGGAAACTAAAACAAGATGGAAGCATTTGTATCAGGTCTGGAGAACATGGCCAAGGCCTGGTTTCACAGGACAAAAGTTTAAGATAATAAATAATCTAACCTTTAGAGGCAGTAAGTAGACTGTTTCTTTAGATTTACGTGTAACCAACATCCTGAGTCTTTGTTGCTGTTAGGTGCCGTCAAGTCAATTCTGTCTCCTAGCAACCCTGTGGACAACAGACTGAAACACTGCCCAGTCCTGGGCCATCCTCACAATCCTTGCTATGCTTGAGCCCATCACTGCACCCACTGTGCCAATCCATCTCGTTGAGGGTCTCTCTCTTTTTTCGCTGACCCTCCACTTTACATAGCATGAAATACTTCACCAGGGACTGGTCCCTTCTAACAATATGACCAAAGTAGGTGAGGCAAAGTCAAAGTCTGGCCATTCTTGCTCTAAGGAGTATTCCAGCTGTACTTCTTCCAGGACGTATTAGTTCATTCTTCCGGCAGTTCATGGCATTTTCAGTATATTTCACGAACCCACAATTCAAAGGCATCAATTCTCCTTCAGTCTTCCTTATTCACTGTCCAGCTTTCACATGCATATGAGGTGATTGAAAGTACCATGGGTTGGGTCAGGCGCACATTTATCTTCAAAGCAACATCCTGCATCTGTAGCCCCTACGTTTCAAATAGGTGCCTAGCCATCTAAAGACCTCCATCAGCAGGCACTGAGCCCCTGGAGACCTGCACTATCTTCTTAGCAAAATGGACATTTCTAAATAAGAAAAGACTTCAGAGACATTTTCATGAATATCTCAAGACTAACCACCTTAATTTCCCAGACTATTCTTCGTTCCTGGAACTATGAAGTTCCTCATACTGCACCATTTCTTTGGAGTACTCTGCCCAATTTGCAAATTAGATGATCGACTGATAAAGCTTTAGCAGTACTTTAACTTTTGTCCTGCTCTTAGAAATTCTTTCACAACATAATCAAATTGCTGAAAAATAAAGACAACACAATGAAAAATCCTGAAGGCCATCATAATATAACAAGGCATTGTTGTTGTTGTTGTTATGTGTCGTGAGTTGGACCCAACTCATAGTGACCCCTCCTTGGGTTTCTGAGGCAGTATCACTACGGAAGTAGATTGCCCCATCTTCCTTCCGAGGAGTGGCTGGTGGGTTTGAACCTCCAGCCTTCTGGTTAGCAGTCAAGTGCCTTAGGCACTATGCTACTAGAGTTCCTAACAAGGTATTGGGAAATAATGATTTGGATGAGAGCCAGTTTCTCGTAAGAAACTATGGAGAACTGAAGGAAGTAGCACCTTTGTAAAGTGCTGAAAGAAAGTATTTGTCAATCCAGAGTTCTCTATCCTGTGAAAGTAGCCTTCAAAAATGAAAGCAAAACATTTACAGATGAAGAGAAACTAAGGAAATTCATTGCCAGAAAATCTGCTTTAAGTAATTACTAAAGGAAATTCTTTAAACAGAAGATAAATGATACCAAAAGAACACCTAAAACATGAGAAATTAAAGAACAACAGAAAATGGCAAAGAGCTGGGTTAATACAGTAGACTGTTTTTCTTGAGCTTTTAAGTATGTTTGATAGTTGAAAGAAAAAATTTTAACTTTGTCTGAAGAAAATTTCAATTTATGTAGATGTAACATGTAAGACTAAAACTGTTATCGAAGTGGGGAGCATAAAGGACCAATATGGTGATAAAGTTTCTACATTCCACTTACAATGGCAAATTATAATTCTAAGTAAACTGTAAAAAGTAGAGCATGTGCATTTTGTTGCAATCCCTAGAGCAAACCACTTTACAAAACAAAACCCTAAATTTAAAAGGAGATCATCAAAACACAAAAGAAAACTTTAAATGGAATACTAAAATATGATTCAATACTCCAAAAAACAGGAAACGGAAAACAAATACAAGAACAGATGGAAAACCAGAAACCAAATAAAATGGTAAACCTAAATCTAAACATACAATAATTATATTAAATGCATATGATCTAAAAGCACTACTTAAAAACATCACCAGAATGAATTTTAAAAAATAAATACACACTGTCTACAAAAAACTCACTTCATACACAAAATGATACAAAACCCTAAAAAAAAAAAACCAAACCCACTGTCATTAAGTCATTTACAACTCATAACAACACTATATGGCAGAGCAGAACTGCCCCTTAGGGTTTCCAAGGCTGTAAATCTTTATGAAAGCTGACTGCCACATTCTTCTCCTGTGG